GCCCCACGTGTGGACTGATTATGCAGTTTCCAAATTGGCCCTTAATGCTTACTCTAATGTTTTAGCAAAGCGTTACAAAGGGAAGGGCATAAGTGTCAATTGCTTTTGCCCCGGCTTTACTCAGACCTCCATGACTGGTGGTAAGGGCACACACACCGCTGACGAAGCGGCGGAGGTTGCCGCCCGCCTTGTCTTGCTTTCGCCGGAGGAGTTGCACACTGGAAAGTTTTATGTTGTGGGGTCCACCACTAATGCTGTCTATTCAAAGTTGTAAAGTTATATTTAAATTGAAATGTTTAATAATTATTATAAGGGTAATTTAAGAGGAGGGAAAAAAAAGGGTAAGGCCTAATTATGAAAGTTGGGGTTGTCTAGGGTCCGAGAGGGTTTGTACTACTCGGACCTAAACGATTAAATCTGATGGATTCAAAGTAATTAAATTTTAATCTCATCCATTGGTTTTTTGTACGACTCATTACGACCTAGTACGATATTAGGAATTTGAAAATTAATGCACGAACCTAGTAAAAATATATGGTACACCACCGTACACACATCGTACTTGGTATTGTTGGCGCCAGATTTCCACGGGTAAAGAAATCCGCCACATTTGGGAATTAAAGATTGACAAAGTTTTGTATTCCATGTTTATTTTGGAAATTTAGAGTCCTACCTTTGTAATACTCTAGGACTTAGATTTATTTCTATGTACTCTATTCTAGTTAGGTATCTTTTGTATTTATCTAGAATAGAATTAGAAATCGATTAGGAGTCTGTTTCCTAGGTTAATCGATTTCTTTGGGAACAAGGTAGGTCTTGGTAGGCAGATTTCGCATCTATATAAGCCTCCTAGACTCACAAGAACCGTACTTTTTTGGGAGAAGAATCACTCCATAGCATTGAAGAATTCCTGAAACGTTCTGCTGAGCAGGACTGTGCCATCGTTGCATGTGTTAACAGATACAAATTTTCTGTATAGATCTCAAGGGAGACCAACCGCGTTTCTGAAGGGAGTTCAGGCCTGAAAAGAGTTCGAGGCACGCGGTGTGGAGCTGTTGTTGGAAGAGACACGGAGTTCAAGTTGTGTACAAGAACGGCGTAAAGAATTAAAGAGGGAGGCTTAATTATTTTAATAAATCCTATTAATGTACATTGTAAATCTGAACTAGTGAAATCGTGTTTGCAGGTCCACGTGGATGTAGGGCACAATTGTGTCTGAATCACATTAATTCTTGTGTCTTTTTCATCTGCTTTCAGTAGAATATAACTGTTCTTAACACAAGAATTATAGTTGTAACTAAAATACTGTTTCGACAACTCAAGCTGTTACAACTCGGGATTAACTGAATTTATAGGCATATAAATCTACAATTGGCATCAAGAGCCTCTCACTAGATATACATAGTGTGTGATTTTGAGAATTTGATTTATTTGCCATTTATCTTTCATAGGTACTATGAGTTCTCATATGGAAGGAGGTTCCACCACTTGCCCACCAATGTTTACGGGAACCAACTACTCTTATTGGAAGACCAAGATGAAGATGTTCATAAAACCAATGGATGAAGACGCCTGGCGCACAGTTTTGACTGGATGGAAACGACCCGTTGCCACATATGAAAAAGGAATCGAAAATGAGAAGCATGAAAAAGACTGGACTAAAGCTAAAAATTGCGGCAAATATGAATTCCAAAGCCTTGAATGCTATATTCAACGGAGTCGATATCAATCAATTCAAGATAATCTCTGCGTGTGAGTATGCTTAAGAAGCATGGGAAAAACTCCAAACAACCTATGAGGGAACTACTTCTGTTAGATTATCCAAACTCCAAATGCTTGCCACTCGCTTTGAGGATCTTCGAATGGAGGAAAGTGAGACTGTGAGCGATTTCAACTCCAAATTATGTGACATATCAAATGAAGCTCATGGCCTCGGTGAAACTTATCCTGAAGTTAAACTTGTCCGTAAAGTGCTCAGATCCATGCCACGATTCGCATATAAGATCATTGCTATAGAGGAAGCAAGTGATGTGGACTCATTTCGACTTGAAGATCTATTCGGAAATCTACAGACTTTCGAAAACAAGTTGAACATAAGCAGAATGGACAAGAAGAGAAAAATTGCCTTACAAACTGTATCTACCTCAACACCATCTGTGTCCACTGTTTCTATGACAGCACTTGAAGTCAAGCTAACAAAATCCATGTCACTGATAGCAAAAAACTTCGGGAAGTTCGTGAAAAGGAATGGACATCCTACAAACTTCGAAAGAAAACCCAGGACTTCTATAGATAAGCAAGAAGTCGGGAAGGGAATTCGATGTAGAGAATGTCATGGGTATGGTCATACCCAAGCAGAATGTGCAAACACACTGAAAAAGCAAGGAAAATCCCTTGGCACAAACTGGAGTGATGACAACTCAGAGTCTGATGATGAGAGTGACGTTAGTGATGATGAACCAAACAAGATTATGTGAACATGCAGAATCACTGAAGACAC